CACTGTCCTGCCCAGGGACAGGACTCTGCCAGCCAGTGGTGGCAAAGTGGCCGTGCCACCTCACCTTCCTTTCTTCTTGGTGTATCTGATGTGACTTAGAGGAAAGACCTCCAGCACAGATCCAAATCTGCAAGGCTCAAGTGCTGTCAGTGTGCCAGACTCATCCTTACAGGGAAAAATAATGGGTGGATGAGGGGCTCCTAGACTGCCTTCACCTCAGCTGCAATCCTTGCAGAAGTTTGGGATGGATGACACTGAAAAATTCTTCATATTTGGCATCACATTAAGAATTTTTCTGTCAAAAAATAGAATGCAGTCCACTTCAATTCATGTTTCTGACAAACTCATTTTTCTGGGTAGATTTTCAGCTAAACAAAAACTGAGCTGGAAATGTCCAGTTCAAACTGAACGTTCTCTAAACTAAATACAGCTGATTATTCCTTGCTTCCTTACATGCTCCTCCCATACCAAGAACAAAAGACAACTTGTCGAAGGACACATTTTGAAGCAGGAATAATGACCATTCTCACCCCCACAGCTCCATTTTTATTGCAAATAAACCAACCCTGCAGGTCTTCCACTAGCTCCAGTGGCTGGGAGGGAGTGGGAAGAGCGATGTGTTACACTGCCATGGAGGAAGTACACAGGCCAACTGGAAAAACGGACTATAAAAAGCTTTTCTTACACAAACACAGGAGGAAGCAACCAACACCCTCAATTGTCGAAGGGAAATGATGGAGGCCTAAACACACAACTAGAAAAAAAGACGTAAAAAGTCCTGCCTGTTTCACATGTTCCCAACCCCTCTCAGATTTGAGAGCCTGGTTCCATAAGGTCAGTGTTACCCACGTCTGACCCAGCAAATCTCACACACAGGTAATTTTCCTCATCCACAAAAATACATTGGCTCATGGCATTTAGCAAAGTCATAACCTTCTATCTACAGAGCTTGAACTTGCCAACAATTATTTAGTGAGTGTCATGGAGCGAGGGCAGGACGTAGATACAAAGGACAGAGATTTTACTGGTCCTTACAAAATCATTCCTTCCCCAGTCAGCCACTGGATGAAAGGACATAAAAAGTAGAGGTTTGGCTATACAATGAACCTGTAGCTTCAAAGTAATTTCACTTAGAAATTTCTTACATGGTTTTGAACATCTACCATTTATAAATGACTACAAATTAAAGTCCTCACACAATATCTGAGTGGAAGCAGATAGCCCACATTCTCTCCTGCCCCCAAAACACGTCAAGTTGTTTTGGAAGTTTTGAAAATAACAATAATAACAGACTAAACGCTTGGATGATACAGATCCACCAACCCGGGATAAAACTGCATTCTTCTTCCCCTGCTGCTTACTTAGGGAAGGTGTTAGCATTGCTTTGCCAGAACACAAAGACAGCAACACAGCTTAGCACTTCAAACACCAGCAGTCAACACAACAGAAATCTCCCTGCTTTGTCCCTGGTATTAATGCTCAGTGCAAAACAGGACACTGGGTTCTGGAATATGTTTTCTTTTTTCTGCAGAAGGTACACAGAGGAGTTCTGTGATGGGCCACTCTCCCTCCTGGTTTCATGGCTTTACAGGGGTCTGCACAGACATGGCTCTGAGCAACCTCATTCCCCCCACATTTATGGACGTGCTCACTTTATCACTCTGTCCTATTGCCTGGGTGGGTTTGTGGGTGGCTGTTGATTTTTTTCACATTACGTGTGTCTGTGGGTCTCTCCACAACTCACGCTGTGTGAGTTAAAGTCCTTCATGTATCTTGTTTGCAGCTCTACTTCTCCCACCTCCTAACACTGACTAGGACTTTTTTTCTCTCAAATAATCTCACCACTTTCTCATGGCAAGACTGGCACCATGGACTGCCAACGGATACCTGACTGTTTATTCATGTGTAGAGCATCATGCAATTCCACAATGTGAGTTAAGAAACAATTCTCTTGTTTCTAGCTGTCAAGAATTTCCTTTCTTGATATACAAACTCAAATCCTGATGATAGAAGCTTGCTCTTCAAGGAGAGGCAAGCAGAAATTTCCCATCAACTGAACAGGTTGTGCTGTGCTTCTGGGTAAGCATTACAATATCTTTTTCGCATCACACCTACTCTACTAAACATACAAAACACTGTGCAAGTGATAGTTTTGTCAGCCACCAGCTAATCAAATGAAAAATTATTAGGCTTAGGAAAATAATAAAAGCAGAAGCCAGCTGTGCATTGGTTGGATGAAAACCCCAGTGTCTCCCATGTTAGCTCATGTGTGTTTCAATTTCTGGGAAGAAAATAATGGGAGTTTCTCCACCCTTTCTCATGTGAGCCATAAAACAGATTTATTACCTAGGATATATTCTGTGTTTTCTCCTGAGGAAAAAAGAAAGTGGTGGAACAAGTTCATTTTTTTCCCTTCTACAACAAGGATTTTCTTTATAATAAACACAGAGCTTAATTTTGGTATCATATGGCCCTTCTATTTAATGCTCTGGTCACACTTTTTGCCTTTCTAAATCTTGAATTGTTGCATTTTCATTTCAGTGGGGAATCTACAGCTGCTCCAGCTGTTTGAGTGCAAAAAGTCTGTCCTAAGATTCCTATCTGGTATGTTTTAAAGCAAAATCCTTCTCTCCCCTAAATCAAATAAATTTAGCATCTACTGAAAAAAACTATAGAATGACTAAAACAAAAAGAAAAGCTAAACATAAGTCTATGTTTCTTTTCAAATAGTTCTTGCTCAGCTTTACCTTACACCCAGCAGCTCTGGGAAACCTAGGCTGCAGATTCAGAGGTTTAGGACAGGGTTGCACCTCATCTGGGAAGGTTTTCCTGTACAAATAACTATTTTTTGACTGTAACAGTCACCTTCTGACCTTTAAAAATAAATCATGAAAGAGAAAATTTGCTGACTAGAAGATTTTTAGCTCCTATGACTCTAATTTGCTCACAGTATGATGTTACAGTTCTAAAGACCTGCGCTGGTAAATCCATTCACAGAAAAGGTGATTTCCCCTATAACTTTCGCTCGTGAGGTGCAGAAGGCACTGATTCATTAAACACCCCTGAATCATGACACAGCCTGGGTTCCCCAGCTGAGTGGTCTGGAAACTTTCAAGGCTAAGATTTGGTTTTGTAAATGACACCCAGTAACACCCCTTCTTTACGTCAATCTGTTGACTCCAATATCTGTAGCCTGAACATGCTCCACAATCTCCCCTTGCTACCTCACACCTATTGTTGATGAGTCACTTCCCCCAGCCTGCAAACCTGCCATCTCTCAAAGCCTGGGTTCTTTCAAAGCAGCCTGTGATATATGAGCGTTCACACCGAGCCATAAATGCCACTGAGACAATTTCTGAAATGACGAGCTGCGCCATCATTAGCTGCACATAATTAAAATGTACCACAGGAAGTGTGTTCATTACAGTTGTGAAATTATTTTTCATTGCTTATGAACAGAAAAAAAAATGCACTTTTAATCATAAACTGTGCCAGCACAGAGCTCAAAAGGAAGCTGGCTTGCTTGGGCAAAAATTGTGCAGGTTTTTTTGTAGATTTGTTTCTTTCTCGTCGTTTTGTGATCGCTGACACTGCTCCACGGAGACCAGCAATTTGGAAAATAAAACCCCAGTAGCTGAAGTCGTTTTCAAGCCATTCCTAATTTGAAACCCCTCATTTGTACTACCAAGCATATTCTAGTGCAGTCAAAGTGCATTCCTACCAAGAGAGTATAAATCCATCCACACGGATATTTTGGGGACCAAAACACTGTTACTGCCACAAACCTTATCTCTGTCCTTTATAGAGACACACACACAAACATGTAATACTGTGTTGAGAGTCTGAGTTTGGACAAGAGTAAAGTATCAGCATTACAACTCAAAGGAGGAGTCCAAAAAGACAAGATCAGCCTTTTTTTAAAAATCATTTACTAAGTTTGTCTTCACAGCCTCAGAAATCTCACTACCATACATCCATAGTCCAACACAGCTGCAACAAAGCAATTTATTACAGAGGAGCAACAACAGTAGCTATTTCCCCCAATGAAGACAGTGTTTCACAGAATATAATTTTGAAAAGTCAGAATCTTCAGTGTTAAGTCTCCCGTACGAGCTAATTAGCATTGATTGGTTAACAGTTATTACTGATCCAGTGAAACAGGACATTGTTATTGCAGAGAAATAAAACTCAAATTAAAAATAAAATGTATACAAACACAAAGCATAACACAGTCCCAAGTACCATGTGACACAGGGCCAAAAAAAGGTGTTTCTTTACAATGTAAGAACATAGATGGGTCAGTAGTTCAGCATTTCTTTGCAAAAAGAAACCCACAGTATTGCAAAATGATCAACAGGGTCAGAAAAGGCGTAACACAGTTGGGCAACAGGTCTGCTCCCCAATACCTTCCAATTCCAACACTGTCATTCTAATGCTTCAAAATAAGTCTCCACACCAATTAACCAAAATCAGACAATCTATCTGATATTAGAACCTGGCATCTCTTCCAGTGCGTGCACCAACATAATTTCCATCTGCACAATCTTTATAACTGATAATGACATACCCAAGCCAGAACAAACAGAGTTAGATTTCCTGATTGCAGGATATTTTTGAAACAAGAAAAAACTAGTTTACCTGTAAAAGCAACAAAAATGTTAATAGAAATCATTAGAAAACAAGAAGTTACTCTGGTAGGGTTTTTTAAAATTTAGTAATTTAGTTAAAAATACAATTTAAAAAAATCTTTGTACTCCCTGTCATTTATGCAGACAAGACAAATTATTAATTAAATGCTTCCCAGTCATGGACCCTCTCTAAAAGCCTCACAGAGACGCTACTAAAACTGGGGGTTAATGGAAGGAGCTTCGGAAGAATGACAGGTCACAAAGAGACTGTGCTAAAAAGTGTGGAAAACGCTCCCCAAAACAGTTCCCAGAGAAGTCACACACAGATTTCCACCTTGTTTTTCCAGCGCACACCCCGTGCCTGCTTTTTACCTTGTTCATTTCAAAACGAAGGTGCTGAATCTGAACCTGGACTATTTCCTACTCTGAAGAGGCATTTAAAGGGGCCGTACGAGGCATGTCCTCACTTTCAAACAAAACCGGGGAACACAAACACGGCGGCGAGCTGCGGGCCCTACCTGTGCCGCCAGGGGGCGACAGCCGCCCCCACCTGGGCACACCTGGGCAGAGCCCGCGCGGGGGGCTATGAGGAGCCATGAGGGGCCATGAGGGGCTCTGAGGGGCCATGATGAGTTATGAGAGGCTCTGCGGGGCTCTGAGGGGCCATGAGGAGCTATGAGGGGCTCTGAGGGGCCATGAGGGGCTCTGAGGGGCCAGGAGGGCTCTGAGGGCTCTGCAGGGCCATGAGGGTCTCTGAGGGGCCGTGCGGGGCTCTGAGGGACCATGAGGGGCTCCGAGGGGCCATGAGGGGCTCTGAGGGGCCGTGCGGGCTCTGAGGGCCCATGAGGGCTCTGCAGGGCC